TAAATTAATTTCTCTCAAATAAATTTTTAATAAAAATAAGTGTTAGTCTAATATTCTAATTTACTTGAAAAGGCTTTCTCAAGTCAAAATCAAATATACTTGCAAACACTAAAATTTCACAATCTCTTAAAAATAATTAGTGAAAATAATTTTTAAGCTCTGATCTTAATGTGACTATAAAGGGTTAATAAAATATTTCTATTTTACCAATAAAATCATTCATTTATCTTTATAAATTTCAAGTGCAACATTATTTTATCCAAGTCTTACACCTAAATTGGCTCTCTCAAGCACAATTTAAGTGAACAAAACAATATAAATGGTGATCAAGCATTTAAAAGCATTAAGCAAATGATAAAATAGACACATGTATATAATAAACTTCCAAAAGAAAGGAATATTCAAGCATTAATCCATACAAAAGTTTAAAATAATCTTAGAACAATAAAACTAGCCACCCATGTTTAGAAAAGAGCCATACATGTCACAATATGCAGCATCCATATCAGAGACAAAGAGAGAAGAGGGAAGAGAAGAAGAAAATTTTTAAAAAATCCATTTTAATCTCTTCAAATTTTCAATCATTGGCTAAATCTCCTTCAAAAACCTTAAACCCTAGCATAGAAAACCTCAAAGAACTTTTGAAAGTCGCAGCTCTCTCTTCAAAGTGCAAGAATTTTACATATATAACCTTAGCTTTAAGTCTGATTCAAAAATGCATAGCTTCATTAAGAGGCTTTTGGCTACGGCCAATTCTTCCTTGGCTGCGGCCAAAACCTCTTGGTTAGGTTCTTTCGGCTGCAGCCAATTCTTCCTCAATTGCAACTAATACCTCTTAGTCAAGACTTCAACTGTAGCCAAAACGTGTTAGTAGTGTCTTGTTGCTAGCTTTTGGTTGAGGCTAAAAGTGCTTGGGCTAAGGTTTAATTCCTCACTATTTGTCTTGACTCTTTCTTGATGTAATAACTTCATAACTCCTACTCCTCAAATAATGTTCTAATAACCTAAGAAGGTAAGAAATTTTGTGAATTCAAGATTAATTATATCAAGATAAAGAATTATGCACAATTCACACAAAGATTTTGTCATTTAAACCCAAATGTGAGATATGCACATTTTCCTATCATATGTACCAAAAATATGCACAATTTCATTAAAAAGCATATGAAATTGTAGGAAAATGCGCTGAGATGATATAAATTTTTATAAGTTATCAGTACCTTATGTACAAAGATGAGTTCAATGGTATCCTAATTAATTTAATTTATCTTATCATTTTAAGGTTGATGAAATGTGCTTTCAAATTGTTTTAGGAGCCACTGGATGCTGATTGGCATTATGCCGACTGCTATTAAAATTGAAAAGTTCTACTATTTGGATTTTGCTAGTGGGTAACCAGATAATAGACTAGACACGATGAAATTATTTAATTTGTAAGTTTATATTTTGATTAATATTTTTATTTTTTTTTTCATTTTGAATTTCTAATTTCAACTTATTCTTTTTCTTATCAGGGCTATGGTGCTTTATTGCAGTGAAAAGAACTTGCCTGCACCATTAAGGTACATGTTATACGATCTAGTCTACCCTAATTAAAAAATAATAAAGGTACTTATCACTATTAATTTTAACAATTGACTCTAATATTTTAATTAATTCAATGATATGTTTATTAGTTTTTCTATGTAGTGCCCGCAACAAATAGTATATAACAAAGATTATGGATATTACTAATGAAATTTCTTAAAGACATCATCACTCATGGGATGATTTTAATCGCCATTATGGTATGCATGTTATTTAGATTCAATTATATATGATTATAAATTTTAATTTCCTAAAGTAGTTAACTTTGTTATCATATTACATTATTGCAATATTATCATCATTCATATTGTAAAGAATTTGGAGATCATTACATTAACAAAGTTATTGAGGAATTGTGTGAGTTTATTTTCCAACTATGGGGCAAAAATAAGTGAACTACACATTTTTATTTTAATTTTTCTCATTTAAATTTTACAATTTAGAATAATTTTAGTTTAGTATAGCAAACAACTTTATTTTTTTTAGTATTATATTCAGCAATTGTATAATAAATAATTTTTTATTTGAATAAAATTGTTAGTTTATTATAATTAAATTTAGTTTAGTGTAATTATGAATTGGACTTATTCGTATTTACATTATACTATTGCAAGAGGCTATAAAAAACGTAACTATGGTAATAAAAAAATTTTAATATAATGAATGGTTATCATGATAACTGCCCAATATATTATTTATATTACACGATTCTGGTAAATAACCATTCAATATATACTTTCCTTTTACTGGTCATTTGGATATTATATTGGATGGGTCTTTGGACCATATTGGACAGTTGTAATAATAGTTCAATATTTATTTTATTAACATATAATGGTGTCATATTAAATGGTTCATAACCTTTCAATGCATGAAAAAAAAAACTGTTCAATATTCCTTTTTATTAGTAGTATTATCCTCTTCTTATCTATCATCGCTTTTCATTTTTTTTTTCTCCCTTCCTCTCCCCCATTCCCCATCATTTCTTTTTTCCTATAAAATTTAAATTCTGATATTAGTAAATCTATATGAAGTTTTTTTAATATTTTTACTTGTTTTATTATTTTTTTATAAAATATAAAACTTTAATTTTAGAAGATTTAAACGCTTAAGAATTAGGGCATATAATCCGTGGATAGAAATTAACTTTTCTAACTAATTTGTTGTATACACAATTGCCCAAACAGCAAGAGCTTCAAATTAAGTAAAGCTCTAATTTAAATAGATCGTGTCATCAATTATAATCTTCCGCTTTTCTTTTTTTCTTTTTGCATGTTATCCTTCTTACTGATCTACGCTGTATAGATATTAATTATAAATTATAATACTCACGTCGACTTGAAAAACAAATCTTTTAGGATGTATGAATTATGATTATAACATAGGTAAAAATTATGATATTGTATGTGAAACATATTTATAGAATCGTACTCTTTTATTCTTCATTTTAATTTACTGTACAGTGACTTGTAATTTTTTTTTTTAACTATGCGATATGTCCTACTCCTAGTTAATCCAAGCATCGTCTGACTAACATATAAATTCTCTTGGTGTAATTAGCCAAAAAAAAAAGTTTCGAAAAGATTTCCTTTTTTTTATTATGATAAAGAAATTCACGCAATCCTTTTGAGGTAACAGTCGAAAATAAAAAAAATTCACGGTACCATTGAGCATCTTTCTTGATATAAGCTATGAAACAATCATTCATCTTGGAAAAAAACAAAAAACAAAAAACAATCATTCATGCATCAACACATTTCTCGTTTGATGACCTACCTAATTTTTTCCTTCCAAGCTTTGTTATTGTTGAAATATCCTTTCTACAATTATCATGGCAATAATGCAAGAAAATAAGCTATTGTTAATTTTAAGAGAAGATAAACATAATTCAAATGAACCACCAACTAGGGTCTGAATGCGGGGGCAAGATGAGCATAATGTCACGCTGTTCTTTCGAGAAACAGACTCCAGTCATGTGCCAGATTCATTCAGCACAGAGGAAATATATATGCTCTTGTAGAATTTTCAATGTTTTCTTGGTAGAATATTATGCTAATTAGGTTAACGTAGTCGTTTTTGAAGTTGTATCGACGATTACGGTGATATGCTTAAATATTTTGTGGAAAACTAAGGTGCTTAAACGTATGTGTACAGTGCACTTTTTCGTCAAATTAAAGACAAATACATATGCAATTTTAAAATAAACGAGTGCTATTTATTAATATCAACAATGCAATTAATTTTAGGACAAACAAGGTATGGAACATATATTGGTTCTGATTTAATTGGAGCAATAAAGTACATAAGCAGAAGTATTAAGAACCTCCCCACCCCCCCCCCCCCCCAAAAAAAGTCCCCAACCCACCCCAGTATTTTAAGCTACTTAATTTACCCGTTGGTGCTTAATTAAATTTAACTTGTTATTATTGGAGATTCGATTCACATTATCTTGATAAATATGATTGTTCATGAGATATCAATCCTCTTCAAAGATCATTATTTTTCATTAAAAACGTAGAAAACTTGAATTTTCTTAATTTAAAATATCAAAGAGCATTATACCAAATAAGCACATGGATAAATAAAAACACATATCTCCTTCCAAATAAATAAATTAAATTTTCATCATATTTTTTTTCATTACTCTCAATTGAATGCTAGAAAGAAAAAGTAAATTGTAAATATATATATATATATATATAATAAGAATAAAGTTGAGAAATTTTAAATTTATAAATAGAGTTAATAAATTTTAAAATATTTTTTGATTTTGATGAAATATATTAAAGTGATTTATAAATAAAATTATAAAAATATATTCGTATTTTAGTTCTCCTATGTATAAGTTATTTTTAATCAAATATCATATACTAATAAAATTATTATTTAATTAAAAATACATAAAATTAGAATAATTTTTCATTTGTATCCCTAATAATGTCACTCTTAATATTATGATAGTGAGTAATAAAACATACAATTAATATATCATCTCATTTTTTAATCCAAAAAAATATGTAATCTCATTTTTAATATAAAGATAAAATTATTTAATTATTTGAAAAATATCATGAGTGATGATATTTTTTATATTTAAAGACAAAATAAAAAAATTATATATAAAAATTGATGGTGTAATAAATAGAACGTGAAAAAGTGAAATTCAATAATTAAAAAAGGTATTGAGATCTGAGCCCTTGAGCAGTCACTATTAGATCCCATTGTCAATGTTCGCAAGTGTGCGCTTAATGATAGTAAGTCATGTTTAATAATTGACAATTGATTGATGATGACGATTTAGTTGGCCGGCAAAGCGCTTGCGTGTCGCCTCGCCATCGGTCTTCCTCACATTCACGGAAATAATAAATAAAGCGAAGGGGCTCTTTTGGTATTTCACTTTGTCCGATATTTTCCCCGCAACGCGCATTTTCCTTCCCCTCTCTTCCGTTCTCTCCTCTCTGGAGAGAAACCTCCCCTTCGCGCCTCTAAGCCAGGCCTTCAGTCTCTGCCACCATTATCATCAGTCATCACTGTTATTCTCCTTTCTGTTCCTGTTAGGGTTCTGTCTCTCCTTTCCTTTCCTTTCTTATTCCTTCTATTGTCATCAATGTCGTGTTGTCTTCATTCTTCTAATTTGCAACTCATCATTCTTTTTTAAGGTATTCAACGGAAAGCAAGAGCAGAATCTGGAATGATGGAGTGCATTGTCGAGCCGCAGATTTCAGCCCATGGAATTTCTCATCTAGATGACGGCTCTCTTTCTGAGACAGGATATGGCCGTTACGGGTATTAATTTATTTAATTTACAATACAACTTTTGCCCATGCATTGAAGAGTTTTGATTCCTTTTCGAGAAAATCGTCGGTAGGAACTAATTCAGGGGCTGTCGGCGTTGGAATTTGAAGGTGTTCACACTATAGAAGGAGATGCAAGATAGTAGCACCTTGTTGCAATGAAGTCTTTGATTGCAGACATTGCCATAATGAATCCAAGGTACTTCTATCCCACTCCAATTGATTCGCTTTTGTAGATGATGTTGTTGAACGATGGCCGTCTAACTCTGATTTTATATTTTCTTGAAAATAATTAACTTTCTTCTTGATGGACGTTTGAATATGTACTTCCAACGCTCTTTCAACAGAATTCGATTGAATTGGACCCTGTTGATCGCCACGACCTTCCTCGTCACGATTTAAAGAGAGTACGCTGCTCTTAACTTCGCATCTTATTTTAATAATTACGCTGTAATTAACGCTCGACATATACTCGGTAATATTTATATTAGAAATATTTAAACGGCCGTGGTGAAAAAGGCAAACTGAAACAGTGAAACCTTTGCGCTTTCCATTTTGGGTCCGTGCGTGCTATGTGCCGCATCTGGCTTTAATTTAATCGTTAATGCATGAATCATGATCTCTATTAATGGACACTGAAGAATTCAATTTTGAAATACAGAAACGCAATGGATGAGGTTTTAACTTGGATATACTCTGTTCAGCTAATTTGACTCTATTAAATTGGCAAAGTTAATTACACTGACTATTCTTAAGAATATTAAATGCCAGGATTTTCTTTAAAAAAAAATTATGGAAGAAAAGAAAAGGAGTGATGGCTCTTTTTTTTTTCTTTTCCTTTTTTACTTTCCTACCACTTTTCATAAATTATCACTAATCTTTAATCGTAGAAAAAGAAAAAAAAAACTAGCACTCAGTCTCTATTCAACTTGAAAAGGAAGTACTTGGCCAAAAAAAAAAAAAACTTGAAAAGGAAGTGCTAACTGGAAATTCTTTCTGCGATTATTTTCAGGTTATCTGTTCCTTGTGTAGCACCGAGCAAGATGTATGTGTCATCCATCCGAAATATATATAATGACAGAGAAAGTCGGTGTAAATTGATTAAACCACTTTCTCGACATATTTTTTCACTGCAGGTTCAGCAGATGTGCATTCAGTGCGGTGTTTGCATGGGGAAGTACTTCTGCTCCAAGTGCAAGTTTTTTGATGATGATGTTAGCTTCTTGCCTCGTTTCGCTCCTGAAAACTTGGTTCTCCTTTCTTGGCCTTTAATAACCGAACAATTATGCTTTACTCCAGGTATCGAAGAATCAGTACCATTGCAATGAATGTGGCATCTGCAGGTCCAAGCTATGCCATGCCTTGATTCTTTACATTTAACTGTTTCGTGCCTAAAGTTTCACCTCCAATTAATCTGTTGTGTTTTTGACATTCTATTTGTATCTGCAGAATTGGAGGCAAGGAGAATTTTTTCCACTGCAACAAATGCGGTAAGCGTTTGAATGCCTTGTGCACTTACTTTCCTCGAGGGATGAGCCATTTGCGTTTCTTCTCAATATTCAATGTCAAATTAACTTTTTTTTGGCTGTCAAACTGACTGTTAAGAAGGGTTATCATGATTTTTATTTATCTTTAGGATGTTGCTATTCGACATTGTTGAAAGATTCACACCGTTGCGTGGAAAAAGCTATGCATCACGATTGTCCGGTTTGCTTTGAGGTAACATCAGAACTCAGAAGGGCAGGGCCCTGATATCTTGAATAGATATATTCTTTTGTCTTGTATAGTACTTTAGCACCAATCATTTGATCTCCTGTTTTTCCAATATATGTGCAGTTTCTTTTTGATACCACAAAAGACATTACTGTATTGCCGTGTGGTCACTCTATTCATCTGGAATGTGTGAAAGAAATGGGGAGGCATTTCCAGTTAGTCCTCCAACTGAAAGGATATTATTGTATTCTATGATAATTGTATATATGTTTAAGAACTTTTGCTTCATCCTGACAAAAATACTTGGCAGGTATTCTTGTCCTGTTTGCTCAAAATCTATCTGTGACATGTCCCGTGTGTGGGAGAGACTGGATCATGAGGTATCTTTGTTGTCAGAATTCGTATATTCTGATCTATATCTACTTACAGTATTTCTAGAAAGAGCTCTAGACTTTCTGAACGTTTCAAAATATTCAGGTTGCATCGACACCTATGCCAGAAATATATCAAAATAAGATGGTAAACATTGGTATCCTATTGTGTCTGTTTAGTTGCAACGGTGATTATCATCTAATAATCTGAATCTCTGTTGGGAATGGCTAGGTTTGGATTCTGTGCAATGATTGTGGGGAAACATCGGAGGTGACCTTTCACGTTTTGGCGCATAAGTGTATAAAATGCAAATCCTACAACACCAGACAGACGCAAGGTGGACCTGCATCGTGCTCATCCAACATTGAAGAAGTGCGTCAATGATTAGCTAACGATCAGGTTGCTCATTTGCAATAGTTTAGGGTTGTTATGTTTACTGTGACTCCTATAGCCATGATTTACTTCTTAAAGTAGTTGGACTGAAGCTACGTACGCTCGCTAACTAGATTTCCATGATCATGTTACTTGACTGTAACTTTAAATAGAGTTTTTTAAACGATTTTCTTTTTAATTTGCTAACTAGAGTTGATCATGTATTTGCATGAATCTCAAGAAGCCCGTTGATATTGATCAGGCAACCTCTGTTGTTCGACACATTAACACATTAATGTGGACAAAATAGGGGTCATATGCTCATTTTCTCATGACTCGAGTAGTGAATTTGGGCTTTGGCCTTTGGGTAAAGAACGATTATTTTATTAAAAAGTTATTGGAGAATCGAATTGAAAGTTTTATTTGGGGAAGGTTATTTAGGGGAGGGCTTCAACCGATCGAGTTCCTCCATTTCCCGCTATAAATGGAGAGAAGTGTAAACTATTAACGCCACTTTTTCTTCAAATTCGATACACACGAGAGTAAACTTCAAAATCCTAAATTGCTAGTATAGTCAGTCTTCGTAATGCAAGAATGGAAAATGAATAACTACTTATGAGTGGAAGTCTGGAACTAACTTATCAATTAATGACAAAACATTATAGTGAGGGGCGATGTACTATATAATGAAGCATATTAAAAAAACTATTTTGTTGAAACTCTTGGTATGCGATCCACGTTGGTCATTGTTATTGGGCTTCTGTTATCTGCTAATTGTTATATTGTTTGTATGTTAGGCGAAAGCACTGGATTAGGATTTCTCCTGAACACATGATAGAAACTAAGAAATACTGAGATATTCTTGACCCCCCAAGCTTTTTCTTCTAACGAGTCAAATTTGGTTGAAAGACTGTAAATTAATAAAAAAAAAATTTGCTGTAATATTTATTAGATACTTATAATCAAAATATTCCTATATGAAATGAAATTTACGATAAATTGTAGTATTATTTACCGAACATTTGTCTGATTTTATATAATAATACTCAGGAATTAAATTGAAAACATCTTCTAAAAAGGAGCGGAGAGATGATCGTACTTGTAAACTATATAATGGTTTTCAATTTTAAGTGTACAAGGAATTAATGCTTTAATCTCTAATCAAACAAACTACACCCTAACTAATTACTTGTTTAACACGCCACGTCCTATCAAATGTCTAGCAACAGAGAGGTTTTTAATTCAAATGCGGATTAATGTAGTATAGTAAGTGGTCAAAAAATATATTCCTAAGTCCTACATGAAGGCTTTATTGTATTATTCATCAAAAAAATAAATGAACACAAGAATAAACTTACACGTGGAGATATAGAACGAGTAAATGTGCATCATAGTAAACAGTTTTTACAGCACTTATTGCTTTGGAAGCGGAAAACAGATGAATCTTGGTACCGTGTAGTACAAGAACAGAAGTAACGAATACAGGAAATTAATAATGAGGTTTATTAATGTAGGCGTTTGGGACATAAAGTTGTATCTCTCGATTGTTAAGGGGCTGCAATGGCCTCGCGTTCCTCCTCGCATACTGTGACACCACATGCAAGGGGTAAGATCAGTATATGATTAAAGAGTTAAATAATTAATTAGTCGTTAGTTTAATTAACTCAATGCGATACGTAGTCTTGAAGAATTTATTGGATATATATACTTACATATTGGACTGAATTAACGAGAAGATTTACTTGCTCTCTTGAGACAGTCTTAATCTGTTGAGATAATTGATTTCAGGAGTTCAGATAATTAAGAGACAATAGCAAATAATAGAATGAAGAGAACGGTAAGGTATAGCAAAATTGAATGGTATTAATAGTTGATAACTTGAATAAACAGTACCTTCTTAGAAATAGTCCAAATGACACCTTCAGTGCAAGGAGGGGCGGTGAGTGATCCAATATATCTGTAGTACATCGGGCCACCCAGTTCTATCTCCGAGGGATCTATTATCCCTAAGCTCTTTTCATCTCCCTCTTCTCCAATCTCCTTTACGATCTCTTCCAACTGAATTCATTTGCATTCAACACGCACGTTAAGATATGGTGAGTTATATTTTTAACAAACGATTCTCAGTTCTCACCACCATTTCTTGCAAACTGCCATGGCAGTTATAGCTGCTATATGTATTTTCATAACTTTGTTTGAGATACACACACACACACTCACCCACCTTGGAGAGAAAAGGATCAGGACGACCAAGCTTGTAGAGAACAGCAACCACAGCGGTCCTGTTAGTCCCATCGGGCAGTGTCATTTGATGGACCATGTGCAGCTCCAAGTCATACCTAGTAATTGGAAATCCGATATTGAAAATGAATCAGTTTAAAAAAACAATAAAAATGATAGTACACGTTGAATGAGGAATATGAGAGAGGAGCGAACCTCTTGCCATTGATGAGGTGTTCAGCTGGCCAGTGCCAATGGGCTCCTTGGAGAAAGAAATGGGTTCCATCGATTATTGTTGAACCCGCATCACTTTCCCAATTCACCTGCAGTATATTTTCCAAAAGAAACATCAATATTATTATGATATCCTTGTGTATATGTGTAGGTTAACTTGCTTGCAATGCAATTAATTCGTGCACGTATATAGCATGTTATTTAAAGTTGGATTGGATGAATGTGTAGGCACCGTTATGTCACGGCCTCTGTTGAGGATAGAAGCAGCGGCAGGCTTGTAGCCCTTGTCTAGGTCCCCTAAGTTGGACAACACTTTCACCTTGCGATTTAACAGATCAATAGGAGATTGAACTGTTCCATTCTTACAGGCCGCCCATTCTGCTTTCAGCTCACCCCATCGTGAAGGCCCCTTCGCGCTCCCTTCTATGTAACTGAACTCTGTTCCATCGTTCACACACACGCTTAAAAACACATTCAGGCATATAGTTATTGAAGCTAAATTGGTCTAAAAGCCCAAGAATTGGGATGAAAGAGAGATGGGTTATATGCATGATCACTGATTACCAACTTCAAGAGCTTTGGTTGACTCTGAGTATTGTAAAATGATTGTTACTAATATCACCAAACATGGAATGAACGTCTTCATTTGTCGCTTCATCATTCTCAGGAACAAAAGATTGCAACTAGGGAACAGATTTAATGAAATAATATCTCAGATGTCAGGAACTATATGAATTCTCGGATGTGATGTGGTGCGACAGATTTTGTATGGTGGAAGGGTTTTTATAGATTGCCAAGGGACGTGACGAAGTGGCCTTGGATTTGGTCGGAGTAAACGAACAAGGGAAACTTTCTTCGAAGAAAAATTCCAGTGTTTTAGTTTAACTTTACCTCCTTTTTTAAAGTATTTACAGTCGTCGTTTTTCCATTTTTCCGGTGGAAGTGTGAACGTGGTTAAACGATCGGGTCTGAGAGAGGCTGTCTCGTTTCCATTCTGTTTAAGTGGAGTGATTGTTTCATCATGTGCGTAAATTAATAAGATTACATATGATGACTTGGTATAATTAATAGGAAGGGAAGGAGCTTTGGATTCATTTGAACAATTCAGGAAGAAAAAGAAGAATACTAATTTAATTATAAAAAATAAACAAAGGATGGCCGTTGTGGCCACATCAAATTATACGTAATACTCTTTCTTTCTTTCTTTGTTTTTTTTTTTTTGGGGGGGGGGGGGTGTTGATTTCAGCATTGTTGTTGCATTGCGAGCTTTGGCGTGGCCGGCTCCCCTGTGATCATGAGCTCGTCTGTTCACTGTAAAATTAAACTCTACGATGATATCCACTTTTATAGATGTATTTGAAACGAGAGGCTAATGAAAAATGAAACAGAAGAGAGTAAAATAATGGATTTAAATCTTTTAAAGTTGAGACCAATAAATTTCATTTAAGTTTTCCCTTTTTAGTATTTTTTTATCACTTTTTATAAAAACACAAAGTCTTTTCTTTCTTTTTTTAAAATATACACTTCACAAAAATTTACATAGTTCAAATTAAGAAGATTTGAATTCTATAATAATCATGGGAGCTTTGTTGAACTCCCCTAGTTAGCGTTGTCAACTTTTGTCCCTTCATGTTTGGCCCGTTCACAGCGGAATCGGTCATTAATCAAAGGTTAAAGTAGACATAAACTCTGGTTGCACATAAACAATGTCTGAACATTATAATACTCAGTCTTTAGTTGTCCAAGTTTCTTTTTATTTTTTTAACTAATTCTAGTTTTTTTAATCATGTCAAAGTAGTTAATATATGTTCAGTGATCATCTTATTGTATTAATTGTATTGTGAAATATCTAAATATAATATTTCCACCATATATTATTACTCCCTAAAATAGCTGCTCCAACGTTAAGGAGGGAGGAGGGAGTATATTTAATTCGTTGGAGGTACCTTAAGCTTTACACATCTAATAAGGTCAAAAGTTTGCTTTCTGCTGTTGGAAAGTATATTATAGTTTTGTGCGTATTACCTGGCCATTCAGTATTGGGGGTCTGAAGACATGTAAATTTGAACCTGGGAGCTGGTCAGGGGTGACATGATCTAGACAAAGACATGTTCCAATAATACATAGCAATTTAATTTTTACAAGCTCTTGTTTTGTGAGGCGTGTATGAAGGATTCCTTTAAGCACATATAATCAAGTAATTAATTGCACAGTACTTTTTATAAACAGCAAAGATATATACGGGATTGATGAACAGTCATTCATCTGCGATCAAGCTCTTTTATTCCGTAATTTCAACGTCTCCCTCGCCCCACTTTTTTTCTTTCTGTTCATAATAATATTTCTCCTTTATTGGGAAATCGATCACTACTGTGTTTAGATGAGGGAAAAAAAAAGAAAAAAATTCTTAAAATTAGTATAAAAAAATTACTATTTTTGATAATATATTCCTCTAGCTTTCTTTTGTTTCCCTATTTGCTCCCCACTTTTTCTCAACCAAGACTAACCCTTCATTTGGATCGAAAAAAAGTAAAAAGGAGAGAAAATGGAAAGAAAAAAAATTAAAATGAAATGTTATTATTCATTATGTTTGAATGGACAAGATAAAACTGAGTGAAAAGAAAATAGAGAAACGTATTACCATGACTGTGATACCCATACATTGGAATATATTATGTTTCATGAATAAAAATTAATTGAAGAAAAAAATTATATTAAAATTAATATCATCAAAATAATTTTAAATCAAGTTATCTGGTAAAAATATGATATTTTCTGCTTAAAAAATAATTTTTTCTATTTAAAATTAAATCATGCTTTTTTTTCCGATGGCGAGGGGTCTTGCCATTAAAAATTGTTAGTATTGCTATGAAATAATTAAATGAAGTCAGCTTGGGGGCAATGCGTGAAATACAGTATTTTCTCCCAAAAATCTCTTCATAGGTGAAAAGAAAAGTTAGGAAGAAAATTAGATATGGTGGGTTTTACATTTCACTATCTCTCCTAATTTCTTTCTCCTTACTTTAATTTTTTTATCCAAACAGGATAAATATTGTTTTCCTTTTTATTTTCTTTTCAAGTTTTATCTCCTCTCAAGTTTTCTTCCAGTCAAACTAGCAACAGTTTGAGCTGGTCTTGTGAGCTGGCCTTTTATAATATCCAAGACGAATCTTTACCTATTCAAAATAAACCTGCGTATGGTGCTTTAAAATATAAATATCGCATTTAATCATAGCTACTTAATCAGATGTGCCGGAAATGTTAAGTTTTAAAAGATAATAATGAATTATCGAGCTCTTTTATCATAATTTACCTGATTGTCAAGATACAAATAAATTAAAATACAAGCGTGTTTAATTAATGACTATGCAAAGCATATGATTGTAAAGATTATGAAAAATAAAAATAAAAAAACTATTTGAAAATACAAGGAAAATTTAGATGTTAAAAGTAGGGCTGCACAGAAGACGGGACGGCACTGGATTTTACCCTAATCCGAAATCCAGTCTCTTTCATAAAAAGGACTGAGTTAGGCAATCCGTAGTCCAGTCTTGTCTAGTGATAACCCGAAGATTAACAGAAGCGGACTTGGTCCATAGGATTAGGAGACTAGTCCTGTCAGTCCAGTACTCACTTAGGTTCTTTTTTTCTCTTTTTATTCTATGAGAGGAAATAATCTATTCCAACATAATAAACTCAATTAAAATAATAAAAAAACTTATAATAATAATAAATCCATAATAATTTCTAACAATAAGAAAAAATATTTATGTTATAATCCAAATGATTTAAATTTATAACTTTAACAAAAACAATACTCAACAAAATTCAACAACACTATATTACAACAATAATTTAGAAACAAACTTAACAAATCTTCATACAATCATCTCTTTAGCATCAATTACACTTCAAACATTTAAAAAATAAATTAATTATAATTATAATAAAAGAAATTAATAGGACTGGATTGGACCAAGTGGTCCGGATTCCTGATCTCTTATCCAGTCCAACCTGAAGAAATAATCTGGTCTTTTTAATCTTTTTAGTCTTGAAGGACCAGTGACTATACAGATCAAACAAGACTGAGATCATTTCGAGTTAGACTGGACCAGACAAGATTGGAAAACTTTTGCACAGCCCTAGTTAAAAGTATTGATAGGTGTTGTTGATTAATTGTTTGTGTTTTTTTTTTTTTCTGTGATCTTCTGCTCCTTTTATAATTATTCATTTGAAACTGTTTATCTCGGTAGAATTCGGAGCTCGAGCTCATTTCAAGAATTTATTTTACCGTAGAAACCTGGAACAATTTAGAAAATGATGACATGAAAAACAAAAGTACTATCGCATATATTCAATTCCGTTCCTTTTTTTAAATCATTTTTATGCCGTGCTAATTTTTAAAAATTATTTTTAAAAATTATAGAAAATTCAAACGCAAGAGATCCTGACTCCCCATCGATAAAAACTAAGGCCCCGTTTGGTATGACTGAATAGTTTTTGATGGAATTGGAATTGGAATTAGAATTGGAATCGAAATCAGAATTGGAATAGAATTGGATTTTAAAAATATGTTTGGTATGTTAGAAAAATAATGGAATCCTTGTATTATTTTGTTTGGTATGTAAGACAGGAAATGAAATTATGCTTAAAAGACAAAAAATACCCCTAAAAATTAAAATCAAAATTAAAATGTATTAATATTGTGATTTAATTTCTCCTATACTATTTAATATATAAATGAAATATTATATAGATGATGGATATTAAAAATAAGTAAAATATTTTTAAATGAAATATTATAAATATTTAAATTATATATAAACACACACACACATATGATAATTTATATATATAAAAATTTGAATTGTCTGAGTTGGGCATTTTGAATTGGGCATATATATATATATATATATATAAAAATAAATGAAAGCACGAGTTGAGCATTTTCAATTGTTCACTGTGCGACTGTTTGCATGCTCAATTTTTTTCGATATTAATCACAAATGAGCAAGGGCATAGTTGTCTTCTCTATTTTTATATGAGGATAAAATTGCCTTCAAAAAATACAATTCCATAGAATTGCTCCAATTCCATAGCTCCCATCAAAGAATTCAATTCAACCTTTTTTGCTTGAATCAAGATTCTTGAGAATTTAAATTCACATTACAATATCCCAGCTTCAATTCCTTTTCCATACTTGTGATTCCACTCTACCCAAACACAGCCTAAAAAGAGAAAATCGAACGCGGGGCGTGTCTTTTCGCTGTTTTTCTTCCCTTGGGGTCCACCCAATCTGTCCAATGGCTGTTTCATATCTGACGCCGCTCTTTTTAAAAAACCGATAGCGAAACAACCTTCTCATTCATCGTCAATTTTTTGAAGAAAATTATCTCTATTTATCTGACATGTTTAAAAGATTTAACATAATATTATTATGGAGATGATCTAAAATAAAAGCACTAAGATATTTTAAAAAAATTAAAAAAAACTCAGCAATTTAATTATATTTCTTCAACCGCATGCTGAAACATCGAATAAGCAATAAGAAGATATGGATGTAGCCAAGTCCACTGCTATTATATATATAAAAATAGAGTTTAAAATAATAAGAAAATGTCAGATGTTTATTTTTAAATTTATTATAATTTTGTATTTTAAGATACCTTTTATGTGATTATGTGTTCCAGAAATAGGCTTGGAATTATGTTTGAGATGTTTTATTATTTTTTGAGAAATATAAATATATTATTTGCATTTGGAATT